ATATTATAATGAAGTTTATTTAAAGCTTGTAAACTATTTATTTCTCAAATTTTCTAATTAATATTTTAGATGTCAATCTGCCTTGGGTAACAAATTACAGGAAGCGACCTGGCAGATAAGGGAGGACTACCATGCTGAGGGCACCGGGAGCAGTAGTTCTGTGAAAATGGATTTCTTTCCTGGCAGATTTTCCAACCCAGAACCATGCATGTAGAGTTTAGAAGGTACAACGGTAAAGAATAGCTCAGATAAAGCTAACATTCAAATTAAAGTTTTCACCTCAAAATAAAATTGACAGGAAAAGAAAATGGGGGTCTGTGAGGTGTGAACTGTTAGCTCCACAGCCTCCGCTTAGCTGTGGAAACCTCAGCTCCTGGCGGCTGTGAGGACAGCAGGGCTCTCTGCAGGGCCAGGGGAGCGGTCAGAGGGAACCGCTGTCTGGTGACTGGGGGACTTCCAGGATCCTGCCTGCTGTGGAATCTTGCCACTTGGTTGGTCCTGCCTTGCCTTTGAATGCAGGTGAAGCCCTGCTACTCCCCGGGAGAGAGTCGTCGGCTAATTTATGACAGTTCATCTTACCACCACCAATTCCTGCTCTCTGCAGTCGGCTTGAAAGCCGGGGCAGATTTAATCTAAAATAGATCTTTGGCTGAAGAGCAGGTGGTGGTGGTGGCAGGCTAGAATGTCACACGAAACTCAGAAAAGGAAAAGTGCACACTCAGACCAGAAAACCATTTGCTTCTTAAAAGAAGGCATATGGAATATTGGATGTGTGGGCAGGCGTGAGAGGAACCCAAAAAAGTAATTCACATGGATAAATGCCCATATACTGAAGAATAAATCTTGATCCGATTCCAATTGCCAACTGTCCTATGGCGAATGTAGCATCACGACAAGAGCCAGGCATGGTACTCGCTGGGTAGTACTGTATGGGCCGGATCAAGGAGGCTGGTGGAGGGGCTGGGGATTTAGCTCAGTGGCAAAGCGCCTGTCTGGCAAGCGCAAGGTCGTGAGTTCGGTCCCTGGTACCGGAGGAAAAAAAAAAAAAAAAAGGAGGCTGGTGGAGGTATGTGAAGACATTCACCTGCTGCTTTGCATAGTCCTCTGCGCACAAGAGATCTCCAGTTTGCTCCACACTGCCATGTGAAGTCAGATCTTTGGGAAGTTGAGGAGAGAAAGCCAAAGGAAAGCTTTTGGCAACACAGATTTTATTTACTGAATCCTTGGGGAGCCATGGGCAGGTGTCTGATGAACCTCAAATTAAATCCTTAAAATTTCTAAAACCTTTATGAATTCATACATAAATTACAGTGCAGTTTGCATATCTAGGAGAAATGATCTTGCTTCTCAAAGCAGATGTTTTTGGAGTTAAAGAACCCCTTCACTATCAATCCCCATAAAAGGGATTCTGATGTGATCATACTGAGGTGAATATTTAAGAAACAAAGTCTTCAACAACCCCCGAAGAGAAGCAATCCAATCCTAGAATAGTACATTCTGCAGCAAAGAGTACTTTAAGGGAAGTAGCGAAGGAAAGCTCACATGCCCAACTTAGACCCAAAACAAAACAAGATTTAGTTTCCTCCAGCTCCAGGATCTACCTCGGGGAAAGGATTCCTTGTCATTCACTCAGCCACAAAATACAGTATTCTCCATGCAGAAAAAAGGTCAAAAAAAGGGAAGTCTAAAATAGCACGTGGAGGGGTGCCAGTGCTGAAGAGAAACCCAGCGATTAAATTTTAGTGACATGCAAGAGCTGGGACAAAAATGAGAAAAGAAGGGGAAGGCAAAGGGGGAAGGAAAAGACATGGAAGCATCCCGTCTGGCTACCAGAATGACTTCTTCAATTCCAAGGTAAATTCTTAAACTACACTGTCTTGACTGTAGGCTTCCGGTATTTCTAAGGCCATCCTGGCATGGCACCCAACCCCCAGCAACCTGCCTAAGATCAGCAGCTGAGAGGCTCCAGGCACTCGGACACACACAAAGGAACAATCTGCATCACGGATCTTCCCCGATTTTCATCGCATATCTGTCAGTTTAGCTCTACGGCCTTCTCTTAGCATCAACTTCTCTACTGACAAGATCGTTTCTGTGAGAAAAATCATTACAAATGATTCTTTTACAGAATACTAACACATACTCATGTTTAAAGTCTTTTAAATGCAGATTTTTTTCCCCACAAGCCCCTGTCACTTCTTCCTGAGTCTGAATTCCCCCGTAATTCTAGCTGCACTGCATTTCTGCAGCCTCTAACTTCTAAACACTCTGAGGTGACTGGCTTGGCATTTACAAATGCAGATTTGCTGCATTCTCACTGTGGGAGGATGAGACACCAATCTGAGGGACATGAGCTGTGGGTAGCGGAGAAGTCTTCTTGACAAAAACATGAGTTCAAACGATTTTCCATGAGTTTTTAGTGGAATGAAGCAATGTTTTTAACCAATTTTATTCTAACAGTAGTTTTTATTGTGACTGACATGTAATATAGGTTTTAGTGCTGGTAAGGCTAGCATCGTATTTGTAAGAATGCTTCAGATATTCAAGGATTCATGTGAAGATAATGCTCAAATATATTTTTAATACACTTCCAAATACCCAACTTAAGATATGATACAGGGGAATTTAAAATTACTGTACAAGGAAAAAAATTTTTTGGTACTGGGAATCGAACTCACGACCTTGTGCTTCCCAGGAACGCTCTGTGCCACTGAGCTGTATCCCCAGCCCCAAGGGAAAATCATTGAATAGAAAATTCTATCAGTTATTTTATTAAATGTTTCAATAAAAGCTTCCAAGTACATGGCAAACCACTATCTATTTTTCTATCTACTATTCTCTTTACCGTTTGTATGTATGTGTCAGTGCTTTCACAGGCTAACCGCTCAAGATTCTCCAGAAGATGTGAAGTGTATTTGCACAACTGAACTTTTGTAAGCGCCACCCAACATGATTGATAGAAAAGACTGGGAAAAAACAAAACATACTTGAGCCTGTTTCTTAGTCATATTTCATGTTGGCTTTCAAACCATTTTAATTCTGAACATAAAGCATCTAAGATTTACACGAGCTGTGATTTTCCCACTTCCCTTCGGACTTCCTCCATCTTCATGTCTGACTCTCCTACAGAATCTGAACTCCCTGAAGAACCGCCCACTAGGGTAAATCATGAGCTGTGTCATTCTATCTCTTCCAACCAAAGACTTCCTTTTATAAAAGTTGTAATTTCTAGCACGGTAAGATTTCAGATTTTGAAATTCTTGGCCTATTTGTCTCCCAGAGGTCACGGAAAATTTTATTTCTATGCCTTCTACAGATTTTCTCTTGGAAGCCGAGGGGAGACACAAAAGGCAGTAGCAACAGGGTTGGGGTAGAAGTGTAAGGATATACTGGTAACAGAGACAAATGTTAGTTTTAGCCCACGGGCCTTTTAAGTCATTAAATCAGGAAAAAAGCCAAGATCATAGAAAATGAGGGAGGAAAAAGACAACCGAAGGAAAGGGCTGTCTTTGATCAAGTAAGTTAACATCTTTTTTGGAAATTATGGATTAAAGATGAAAATATAACAATGTCCAATCTGACAATGTTTTCTATTTCCAAACACATTTCATTCCAGCACTTCTGTTTGGGCTCACTGATTTCTTTTGCTTTGGAAAACAAAGAGTTTTGGAATCATGAGGAGGAAATACAAAAAGAATGAACATTTGTGTATGCTTAGAGTCACAGATAAAAGTGGTATTAGGAAAATATTGTTATTTGTTGAAGCCATGTGATGGGTACCTGGGTTCACAACATTAATCTCTCTACCTTTTGCATTTATTTGAAAATTTCCGTAATTCCAAAAAAGTGAAGCGATTGATAAAAAATTACGTTTGCTTTTCAAAGCAAAAATCTTGCAATGTGTACTGGAGTAAGATTAGTTTCAGCTCACTGTTGGCAAGAGGTTTCATGTTCTATTTAAACAGACAGACGCAATTATACATAGAGGACCATATTACACACACGTGTACTGTCACTTTTAGCAGAGTTTTTCACTAATATGGAGGCCCCTCCTAGTTTTATTCTCTTAATGGGAATATTCTCATATAAAAGGTTGAGCTAAATGATGTATAATTTAACCTGAGTTTTCTAACCCATCAAATCTCCTGAAACAGGTTACCTCTAATGTATTAGGCCCTTTCAAGTTTATTTGAAAACTTATACTCAGCCTTTCTTTTGAATTTGCTTAAGAAACAAGCGGATTTTACAGCTGGAATACAAAATAGAATCAATTAGCATTTGATGAGCACCTACAGTACAGGCCCTGCACTCATGTTCTTTCTCCTTCAGCTTCATAGCAATAGGATGAGAAAGTTCCACCACCACTGTGGCTCAGGGAGGTGAAAAACTCAATGGTAACATGGGTGGAGTCAGAACTTGGAGCCAAGCCTGTGTGAAGGCAAACTAGCTTGATAGTAACTACACTGTGTGCACCTGTAGTTCCCAAAGGATTTAAAAAAAAAAAAAAAGAACTTTATCTTTGGATAAGGATTGGATCAGCAACACTGTATTGAGCAAATGTGAGGTCAGAGTTTTGGTTATGGTTTTAGTGACAGCACTTCCATAGTTTTGTTATAGCTCAGGGAAGCAGGGTATGTTCAGATCGCTTTTCTCCAGGTGGCATTCCAAAGGTTCTGCTCCCAGGAGGCCTGTACTGTTTTCTTTCTTCTGTTGGAAGTCAACACCACACTAATTAGGGAAAAGTAACCGAAGCTTAACGGACAGTGGTGAATTTCAGGCAAGTTTTGGGGGACACCATCCTTCAGTGTTTTGAAATAGCTGGATAGCTCACCTTTATTATTTTTCTACTGTTTTTAATGGATACAGTACATTGAAGGCACATACTCTATGGCTGGTAGTTTGAACATAAACAAATGTATTTGAATAATATCTTTAAAATATTTCAAATTTTTATTAAATATTTTTATTCAGTTTTAAGATCACAGTTAAAGTACTTTAGCATGTTATACACATGACTTACATGTGCAATTTTTAGAAATATCAAATTAGGTATAAGATTTTGAAGAAAGAAATGATATAAATGTGTATATTGACTTGTACTACACATACATCTAAGAAAGCAATATTCTGTTGTACCATTAAGTGGAAATCATTTATTACATGGCATGTTTACACCAACTCTAAAGAGAACCAAGCCAATTTCTGAAAGAAAAAAAAGAGCGATTCAGTCATGCTGAAACTGTCAACAGACTTAAGACCTGGTGGTCAAACGAAACTCTGTTAATTTATGACATCTGAGTAAGCAATGCAAACCTGTGAGAAAAGTTCAGAATCGAGTGTGTGGAATCTCAGGTGGTTTTTCTTTTTTTTTTTGGACAAATTCCTGAGAGTAAGAGACTTGTTTATAGTGAAACAAAAAGTGCTCTCAAGCAAGTTACTGAGCTCTAGATCTCACACCTTCCCTACCCTCGGTTCTGCTACTCTCCGAGCCAGGCACTAGTGTGAGGGGACTTGAGCCCACCGTGGTGGGCCACGAAGAGAATCAGTGATAATTCATGAAACATGCTTATCTCTGTGATTCAGGTAAGAGCTTGTGAGGTAAGATTTGCATTGTGGGTGGAAGGGTTTAGAGGCATTTAATTAGATCCTTGTTACTCAGTAACCGGTTCTGGCCCAAGTTTTCAGGAAATCTTTGGAAGGAGGAGTAATGTTCAGGATAACTAGTTCTGTGTAGAAAAATCAGTTTCAGGGTATGATTGCTTTAGACCACTGACTGACGGAAGCAACAAAGAGAACCAGTGGCCACAGGACTTTTAACTACAAGGTTCCTTCTCTCAACTTCTTAGTATAAATGACACCACCAGAGATAAAATTTGGCCAGAAAAATAATTTTTTTAAAAAGAAAACGCGTATTTATATATTTGAAGGAAGCATTACACAGACAGGTGGGGATGTGTAAGTCAAATGTATACGTCTTGTTATTCACTCTTCTTTGTTCTGAAACATATGAAGATAATGTCCCCCGTGAAAAGGACAAAACCATTTAATATGGAGCATAATAAACGCGATCACTTCCAAGTTAAAGAAAAGCAGTCCATCAAACCCTGAATACTTCACCAGACACATCTGGTAAGATGAAATGAAAAACTGCCTTTTTTTTTCATTATACATATGCTGTTAGTAAATCTAAATAAAGTAGTTTATAAAATCCCCAAACTCAAATACAACAAAATTCAAATCTAATTCTTTGGGAATGCTTGTATAGACAAAAGCAACATCTAATTAACAATTAGTACACTTTGTATAAGGTGCAAGACAAGGACCTATGTGGAGAACAGCTAAAGTTTAATTTCCACCTAGCGGTTACTCTGAATACTTTACAGGGCAAATGTAATAACAGCATTTGCTTCTACTGCCCACGTTCAGCAGCACGATGTTCTCTCTGGAGAAAGCAGTATGTAACGTCAAAACACTGCTGTGGAAAATAGTGGCACTCAAGTAGAAGCAAAAAAAAAAAAAAGACAAAGTTTTGAAACAGGACTTACTGAAATTAACTTTGAAAGCCGAGGTAGCCCATTGAGATTGGCCTTATATGAGGACTCTGTGGGGCAGTGCAATCAAAGTGAATTCCTCAACAACATCATGTACACCCCAATCTCCCTTCACGAATGATGACTCCTGGCCTTCTGACGCCCTTGTCTCCGATGCAGCGGTGGTGCCTCTCCTCGCCGTGTGGACACTGTCGTCCAGCCTCCAGCTGCTGGTCTTCGGAACACGATTCGTACAGTAGTTTAGCAGGCAGCATGGTTCCACTGCTTCACATTAATGCCAAATGCCAAGCTTGGAACAGAGCTATTTAGTATTCCCTAACCCGCCCCAGCCCACCCCACAAACAAAACATGTCATTCAGTTTTCGCTAACTCCTGTCTATAGCAATTTATAATTTGCTTGAGAGTTTACACAGGTGCAAACGCTTCCATACAATGGCCAAATACTGCAGAGTGCAAAATAGACTTTTCTGACTTAGAATAGCATCTGACTTCGTAAGAAAACGCCAGGGATTGAAGATGTTGGGTTCTAAACAAGCAGACCACTTCAGATGCATCTTTTTGTTCACAGTGTTCCATCACTATTTCTTCCTCCAGCAGGTGGTTGAAAATGGCAGGAACTAGATGGGAGGAACTAGATGAGCGTTATTTCAGCACGGCTTTGGGAACGCATGTAACAGAATTAAGGAATAATTTCTCATCTTACGGGAAAAAAGATGGTCAGAATTCCAATGGTATAATTTATCCTTCAGAAAAGGTTTAGTCAGTTAAATAGTTTTGGCCTAAATCTGGGAACTAACTTAATTTTGGGACAAGAACCTGTATTTCCAATGTGGCTGTGGGCCATTTTTCCTTTCCCAGTATCATATACAGTACCCAAACAAACAAAAACTTCAAGGATGTCTTACAGTATTTTTTTTCTTTCACTCAGCTTCTTAGAGCTGCAGTTTCAGTTACTATAATATACTCTACACGCTTCAAAATTACATAGGAAATACCCAGAATAACTAAATAAATAAAAAAGGCTAAAGAAAACTGGAACAATACTACGTCTCCATCTGAGACGAAATCTTTCACTTCTAGCATTGCAGAGAAGGGCTAGGACAACTTTTTTCAAAAGATTTATATACAGGTTTGAATCCAGAAGTTAAGGTTAAAAGCATAAATATTGATAATTTCAACTAAATTCAGAATGGTTTCAGAAAGATATGATACAACAATTTAGAATAAAACAAAGCAGAAGAGCATCGCATTTTGGTTTGCTTGAGATATACATAAGGTGCAACAACATTTTTCTTGAGGGTGCTGTGGGACAAATGTTAGTGTACATGATGTTTGCTGGCAGATTAAAATACACACTGTAGCAATATGATTTTCCAAAATAAGAAAGAACGAGAAAAATGAAATGAAAATGATAATCGGGGAGTGCTATATATTGGTCTGAAATATTTGTGCTAACAAATGTTACCTGAAAATACCAACACCCCCTTCTCCAGCAGATTCAGGGCACGAGAAGCACTATTACTGAAATAAAAACTTCACTCAGAGAAAAGACAGGGCGCGTGCCTAAAGAGCTATAAAGCTTTGCAGGATTTCTGCTACTCTCTGTGCCTAACTGCTTAAAAATTAAGCATTTCTACAAAAAGGTTTGTTTTAAAGTATCTGAAAACAGTCATATCCAGGAAGTTGCCCTCCCACCCGCACCCCTACCTAAGGGAAAAGCCACTGAGGTTTAGGAAAAGCAGATCAAGTAAGGTATTAATCACATAGAAAAAAGTAACTTTTTGTTTTTCTTCTTTTTAAAAAAAGGTCCCATGAATGTACAGCAATCTCGTAAGGAACTCTAGTGAAATGTGACCGGAGGACTGAAGGGGTAGCTCTGGCAAAAATAGACCTATTCTAACATGTCCGCTAGAGTAACAAGTTAGTACCATTGTCAAGATGCATGTTCTGCACCATACAATTTTTGTTGTTGGTTCTTTGTCTCTGGCTTTTAAAAAATGGTTAGTTAATTATAATTTTAAAATCACTGCTAGCAAGTGGTCCAAAACTCCAACAGCCACCAACATCAGGACCCAGCAATTTTTAAACATTCACTTTTTTGTTTTGGAATTTAGAAAATATTAATAAAACAGCATCATATTAAAAGTACGCTAAAATCTGGGGCTGTTCACTTGATTTACTTCTAAGCGAATGGGATTAAGCTATAACCACTGATTAACCTTTTACTAATTCCTACTTCCTCCATCCTCAGAATGAGTATGCATTTTTGAGGACATCCCCTTGCTGCCCTCTTTTACCTGCTTTTGGGGGATAAAAATGAAACCATCTCTGTAGTTTTTCAATCTTGTTAGTATGTTGTACATATTTTCCAGCACCGAAACTGAAGTAATATCTACAACCATGAGAGGCTAAACCTAGTCAGTATTAATAGAGTCATTTTTTATATGGCTATTAGGTCAAATTACAATTAGAAAAAAATCATCATTACAATTCAGTCAAGTATAAATAAGAAAGCTAGATAAAACCATGTAAACTGTCACCATTTAGAGATCTAATTCAAAAGCTTCAAACTTGAACTAGCACTATCAAAACTCTGCCAGTTTGAAAACCATTAAAAATTATTGCTGGAATCTAAGAATTAAAATTTGGTAGTTTGTGCTGATGCAAGAGTGGGGAAATACTTTGTGCTATGGAACAAATACCCTGTAAAATCTGTAGCCTCAGACTAATTTTGATTTATCACTTTGCATCTGTTGCTAGGAAACAAGACACTGTGAACGTCAGGTGGTTTAAGTCAATATGTTGAATGTTCTAAGCCAGTTAATCCACTTGGCACTGGCGTATGTACGGTTGATTTTATGTTTAAAAGCAACAAAACACAAAAAGGAAACAGAACCTTGCAGGTGGATCTACAGCTGAGAGGCCCCGGCAGCACACCTCCCTCGTCACTGACTCTGTACCTCCTGCTCCACACCAACCTGAAATGGCTCTCAAGACCTGCAGCGCCAACTAGGCTGTGCATAGCGATTGCAACCCGTCCACTCTGTCCGTGATGGATGTAAAAGGTCTGGAGCTCCAAGTCCACATGAAGTGAGTGTCTTCAATGTGTTTAGGATAGTGAAGTAATACTAAGGTCACTTCTGAATAATATTTTTGTCTTTTTTGTTTGTTTGTATGAACGATCCATTGGTCACTTAGACCACTGTGTAAAAATAAAAGAATCCTCAAGGCATGAAAGCATTAGTCATCTGTGATCTGCAGGACTCTTCCCTGTCTGGGAAAATATTTGCCACAATTTGCCCCGAGCAAATTCTTCTTGGTCACTCAAGGCTAAGAAAAAAAAATTCAGATTGTAAGAATTGTAAATTTTCTCTCTCTCTCTCTGTCTCTCTCTCTCTCTGTCTCTCTCTCTTTTTGCCAGCAAACTACCACTCTGGTGGCCAATATAAAAGTGCAGAATACATGGACCACGAGGCCGAGCATACACCGCTAACAATGGTACGTCTGCCTGCCCATGCTGCTTGGGAGTCTTGGGAACAGGCTTTTTAATATTTATTCTACAATATAAATGTAGGTATAACCTATTATATAAACCATCTTAGAACTTAAATCTCCATGTACAAAAAAGACTAAGAATATCTAATAATAACTAGTGCAGTGCGTCAGTTTTTTTTGTTTTGTTTTGTTTTGAAAGAATAACTAGGCAATATATGAAACTAGTTTCCCACTCTCTGGTTGGTAAAAGAGGTGCTGGATGAGCTACACAGTAAAGGCAGTCTTTTACCAGGTTACCACCGTTTACCGGCAAAAGCCTTCAGTGGAAAGCAAAGCTGCAGACTCATTCTGTTCCTGCTCAGTATCAGAAAGACGACAACAACCTCAAAGATTCTGGGTTCTGAAAGAACAAACTGGCCCAGGACGCTAACTTCCGCTTCAAGTGAATCTGGGCCGCGCAGGGCAACAAGCACTTGTGTGCAGTTTGTATTTTCCACCATTTGGACTCACAGGCATCCCTTGGTAAAGACAAGGCTAGGGTAGTAGGTAAAGCACAATGTTTTACAATTAAAGGGCGCTTCACTGGTCAGCGCAAGAAATAAGTACGGGAGCCTGCGGCATTTCTTTTGGCTGTCCGTCGTGCGTGAGTGGGGTTGATCTCTGACCTCTGTAAAACAAGAGAGGAAAAAAACCACTTAATGAGGGTACATTAGAGATAGAAGATGATGACAAATAAAAGCTTTCCAATATCTCATTTAATAGCGATTGTTACTTATATTGGTTAACTGCACTGCATTTATCCTTAGAATTCCTTCCCCCTTCTCATTTTTCCTAAGACATTGCGAATTGTGGAAATGCGAGGTAGGGTAAGAATTCAGAGGAGGATCGTAACACAGGCTCTGAAAAGGCCGCCACACGAGTAGCTCTCACTGTCCCTTGCCTCTGTAAACAGGACTGTGGTCACATCTTCGCTCTGGTAACCAGTCTTCAATTCACAATTTTTTAAAAAAATTTCAGTTCCCTTCATCCAGTTCAACAGCACGCTCTTTGGCCCCAAATAACCAATCACTACCATTTTTAGAAATGAATTCTGAAACATCCACAGATTCAGGGAAACTTCCTAAGAAATGGAAAACTTCAATCAAGAACTAAGGTCCTGGGACAACCACCTTCTTGATGCACCGATACTAGAAAAACACATTCCCTTCCTTGCCCCCAAAGAAAATCTCCCTATAACTGCTGGTAATCCCTTGCCTTATTTCTCCAAGTATATACTGCACCCAATTTTAAGGCCAGCCAGGGGTGGTGGTGTACGTCTATAATCCTAGCTACTGGGGCGGTGGAGAAAGGAGGATTGCAAGTATGAAGCCAGCTCGGGCAACTTAGCAAGGCCTTGTTTCAAAATAAAAACGTAAATGGGGCCAGGAATATAGCTCAAAGGTGGACATTTGCTAGCATGCAAGAGGTCTTAGGTTTAATCCCAGTACTGCAAAACAACCAACCAACCACGCAACCAACCAAGACCAAAACTAAAAACTACAGGTTAACAAAAGCAATGTCTCATTTGCATAATTAGTAATAAATAATACAATTTACTTCAGAGATAGAAAACTGTTCAAAAGTCTCGGCAGTTACTACAAAGACAGGCCTGGCACCTCCCCGACATGTGCCCACTAAGCCTCACCAACGCACACTCGCTGCGCTGCGCCCATCCCGGGCTGGGTACAGCTGTGTGGAAAAGCGGTGAGATAGCAGCAACGTTTCCCTGGTCTGGCCTTTCAATATAGTACTCCTCTGCACAGTTCACAGAACAAAGGGGATTATGTAAAGAGTAAGGTAATACCTACCCCATAACTATACCCAAGTGTCCCTTGACGTACAAAAACAAAAACAATTAGATAAATCAGTGGTCACTGAACAGTGTAAGATGTTTAGGAATCTATAAAAATAAAACAGGTCAGAATCAAACCTCTGGATTCATCTGTTCATTCATGTGTATCTGCCGCAAGCATCAACTGTTCCATATTCAGGAAAGATGAAACGAAAATGCTATTTTAAGGGTTGGGGACATAGCTCAGTGGTACAGTGTCTTCCTAGCAAGTGCGAGGTCTTGAGTTCAATTCCCAGCACCAAACAAATAAACAAACAAAAAAGGCTATTTTATACCTTTAAGATGATTTGATATTAAAAGAGCCAAAAGAATTTAGGGTTAGAAAAGAAAAAAAGTGAAAAATGGAAAGTATAATGTGAAAGAAAAACAAGAGACAGACAGAAGTTGGGGTGGAAATCCAGTTTAAAAAACGGACCAAGGGGAGGAGTTACAAGTGTGACAGAGAGCAACTAATGGGTGGATCTAGTCCCACAGAAAGGTCGGCCGGGGTTCTTCACGGCCTGCATTACTAATGCTTGCTAGGCTCTCTGAGTTCAAAGACCTCAGTTCAAATCTTGTCTCAGGCAAAGATGAGCTGTCTGCTCTTGACAACTTAATTAACTGTCTGCGCCATCATTTAAAGAAGACTGAAAAGACCCACCTGAGAGAGCTAAAGGATTATACTTAACTAACTTCCTTTCTTAGAAACTTCTAGTACATAAAGCTCCTCTTAAAGATTTGCTCCAAGCTCCTGTTTCCTGCATTTGTAAAACTGTCTCCAGAATCTCAACATGGATTTAGATTAGGTCTTATGTTAGACTGTCTAGATACGTTACTTGCACTCTTGCATCTAGTTACTCTTAATTCCACAGGTTACCCTCTACATCATGAACCTAGGTGATGTTCACATAATGACTAAATGGGATACAACCCAGCTACAACTGCATTAAACCTGGTAGGTCTGTTTTAATAGGTAAGGGCTAAATTTACAATGAAAGCTCCCTAGAGTGACCTGCGGTACTAGATATTACGAATACTAACCATTTGATAGGCTGATGGTAAAATTCTAGTATTCAATATTCTTTCCAATGGGAAGTGAAGAAAGGAATCTTTATGTACAACATTCTTCTATGCCTGTTACCTAACTCAGGCAGACATACTTCAAGAACTAATTCATTTCTTCCTTTACTGCACTCGTTCTTTTGTTCCTGTTCCATCTTACCCACTGATTTAACAGGCACCGTTAAGCAAGCTGGGATCTGAAGAATAAAACCGGTGCTTTACTTTCAAAATAAACAGGAAGGAGGTAGACGCGTCAACCAGTAATTACTGCCCACTGTGGCAGCCGGTCTCAGCCAAGTGAGTACACACAGCCTGGGGCAGCAGGAGGCACAAGGCTGAGAGGAGGGGACGGTCTTGGGCCAGGAGAGCAGCAGCAGCTCACCTGAGAAGGTGACGCACCAAGGCAAGAGCGTGATCTGGAGAGGACTACGCACGCTTGCGTGGGAGAGGCGAGGGGTGTGAGGGGCGGCAAGCCGCGAGGCAGGAGTGGAAAGCGGAGATGTGACCACAGCCACGTTTAAGGAGTGCAAGGGGCGGTGGGAGAGCCTCGTGTGGCGGCCTTTTCAGAGCCTGTGTTATGATCCGCCTCTGAATTCTTACACTACCTCTCATTTCCACAATTCAGTGATATTCAAGGAACTATTCTGAATTTTCTTTTCATGTCATGTGTTTGTCTTCTACACGCTACTGTGAAAAATTCCCAAGTGGACAAGTACTTGTGTATTGGCTCCCTCAGAGACTCCGGCAGGCTTTAACAATGTCTGTCGGCATTCTCTTGCTAATAGGAACTTGCAGGGTACACATGAAAGGGAATTTGACTTCCTGGGCTATCTGGAGGGTGTGTGTGAGGAAGCCCTGGAACGTGACGAGTAGCGAGCATGAAGTAAACACGCTCCGCTCAGGCCTCTCAGGTTACCTGGCTGTGAACCAGGAGCAGGAAGCCCCCCAGGCGGCAGGCTGGGTAAGGCTTCAAGTGCTTTTATGTGAGAGGGCAGTCTGACAAAGGAACTCACTCCCGCAATCCACTTCGAATACAAATAGGAAATACCCACATTCACACAGGGCCCGCCTGCTTCCCGAAGGAGCACACAGCAGAACACCCACTCATACACTTAGAACTTAATATACGTTCTAGGGGGCGTCATCAAGTTCAAAGGGTTTTCCCGACTATGACTGCCTCTGATTCTCATGATTTTGTGCCTTTTTTAGGGATATCATTATGCTTAATGGAAGATAAGAAAACTAAGGTGCAAAGAAATAAATTACATGTAACAAACCACAGAGGGTTCATAAAACAAATCCAGGCCTTTTGCCTGCCATAAATCAGATGCCAAGAAACTTGTTCCCGTGCACCGCACTGTTCCGACAGCCGTGCCGCCCTGCCACCAGCACCGTCCGCGGTGGGGGGCGCTCCCCACCTGTGAGCACTGGGATGTCCCAGTCGCCCCGCATAACCCCTCTAAGAAATGAGCGCCACCTAATTTTGTACAAATGAAAAAGCTGAGGTAGGGCAGAGAAGTTAATGATACTGCTTGGTTTTCAGGTGACTGACCTAGGAGTTAAACCCACCTCTGATATCACACTGAATGACCAGAGAATGCCGCCTCCTTACTGTCAGGTTTTTAAAAAATGCAAATCAAGATTGGCCATAAAATAATATATCCAAAAATATAAGTAAAATAAAAGACTTAGCGGGCTACATTCCCTTAAATTTTCTCACACTGTTAACCAGCATTTAAACTTTTATAACATCGCATATGAATAATAACCTTGAACGAAGCCTGAATCCCCATACATTAAGAAAAATGCTGAAAGTCGTGTCGGAAAGACTCGTACGATTTCTGCACTGCTCTCGCCACCCGTGTTCTGCCACTGACCTGTGCGCATTCTCCATGGCCGCCACTTCGGCCAGGGCAGCGAGGCTGAAGAAGGCCGACACAGCGGGCATTTCCGGAGTGCGGCTGCGCACGTCCTCCATCTCGGCGGCGTGTGCGCACTCGTCACTGCAATCTGTCTCGCTCGCTTTAGGGAGACTCCTCTGCAGTTGCTCCTTTGGTTTGTCATCTTTAACAGAAGAGAAATCCATCACAAGGGGGTCACTCTGCTCTCCAGGGAGGGAATGCTGAGAAATTCCTATGTCAGACAATGTGAACAGAGCTTCTTCGCTGTGCTCTTCTGCTATCCATCAAGTCCTAAGGCTTTTACAGAAAGTCGTCTTCTATAAAACGAAGCCTTTTTATTAAGCTCAACTGCAACCTGCAACTATGGTCAGCACCGTGCCCTGGAGCTGAACCAAGGGGAAGCTGCGTGTTGTCCAAGGTCAAAGAAAGGGTTGGCATTGGAGGGAGGAGGAAAAACGAGCCCGGGCCAAAACAGAACCCAAGGCACTTCTGCAGGTGGCCCTTACACACCCAAATGACATTGCTTAGGAATTTCTATGACGCTATCACAGGCCCTACTACAGCAGCATGGACATTTCGTATTCTGTGATATGAACACGGAGGATGGGCTGGTCATCAGCTTAACCAAGCCTAACGCAATCCCATGCTGTTTTGTTCTGAGATCTACTTGGCTAGAAGACAAAGGGCCCTCTGGTATTTACGAAGAGGTGAATGAAATGCTATGTAAACATACCTGCTGGAAATGAGAAGACTTTCTTTGTTATTCAGACATTAAGTGAAGGGTTAAGAACTTTTATCATGGGTTTTAAAATATTTTACGTTTAGAAAACAAGTGATAAAAGATGGGAATGTCATATATTGGGACATAAAAGTGGTGCAGTGCTTTCCTACATAAAATGAATATTTTCTAGAATGTCTAATTCTTATTGCAAGTGGAAATGAATAAGAATATAAATGGACGAGGATATGACAATCTACAAAAGGGAAGGCACAGAACAGAATCCAGATCAGAAAGGAGAGGAGGGAGGGGCCTGTTGAATTAAACAAAAGGACATCAAGATCTGAGTCCTCATTCTACTTCTACTTAGTTGAATTGTATCCAGACACAAAATTCCTCTTCTCTGAAGTTTCATCCCTTATATAATGGTACGATTCAGGGTTTTTAGCATGCTTTATGGCTCTAACTGCAGATGCAAAGTACAAGAAAAAGTACACAAAATTAACTAACTGTCCTCTAATTCTAACTCAGCAAACAACCCACGTCCTCTGAACACCTGAATTAACCAAAATCATAAAGAATTCAGTGCTGGACGTGCTGAAGGTAATGGCTAGCGCCCGTCTGATGTATCACCCCACGCTGTTTTGGGGGAATGCTTAGTATCACTCACTCCTAACGAGTGAGACCCTGTTGAAGAAAGCCCACCAGAAACAACAACCAGGCTACAACTCGTGCTTGAAAATGGAAAACTGTACTATATGGTTAAATCAGAGCAGAGAACTCAAGAATTAGACACGCTCTGGGCGCCCACGCTGCAGTCTCTACCAGCTTTGTAAAAAGGGCTGCACGCACTTTAAGGCACCTTAACCCCTGCTCTGAATACCTACCTGATAATCTAGTTTACAATGGCACGAATAGCAAACCATGGAGCAACAGGTTTATCACGGATCTTTAAAAGTCTGGGCTCTGCTGGAAATTTACTTAATCAGGACTGTTTTGGGCATACTGAGAAAAAGAAGCTGAGGATTCTAAAATTATCTTTCCTTTCTAGAAATTCAGATAGGTTCTTGGAAAACAATGTATGATTTTAAAACATGGAACAGACCATGTCTGGAAGTCTCCAGAAAGGTACAGAACAGACCCACTGCTGAAGGAGGAACACAGCCTGCGAACATTCACCGGTCAACATGGTCATCTCCGCCTAAAGCTCCCTCTTCTTACCCAAAGCACCTCCTGCGGGTGACACTCGGCCATCTGCTGTCCTGACAAGGTGTGTGATCTTGGTTTTCCTCGCTTTTCTCTTTTGGCTGCCCACCAAAGGTTCTTGCGCTGTTGGTTCTGGAGTGTTGGGAATGGACAGGGCATTTTTAACCTTATAAGCAGGCTCTGTGGTGTTTTTGTCTTCTGAAAATATGGCTGAAATAGGACAAACCATATATAATTACACACAGGCACCAACATTGCTTTTGGAAGGAAACATTTCTATGTGACCCATCTGAATGGATAATTTACATTCAGAATTTTCAAAATATTGATGGAAACGTGAAATGGAATGTTCCCATAATGTGCTAACTACTTATCTGTATTTGCGTTGGTAAATTATGCACAGAGCATTAATATTCTCTCTCTTTCAACATTTCCGAAGTCTCTGGATATTGTGGGTTGGTGGGGAGGACAATAAACACAAATTTGAGTGAGCTACTAATTATGCTGCTAACAGACCACAAGTCCTAGTTGTGACCAGGATCCTTGTCTAAGACCTTTTTGGCCAGTCAATCTGGGCAGGGTGGTAAAGGAAGTTTCATTTCGTCTAGAACACTGAGATTAAATACTGCTTCTTAAATTTACACTGATTATAGGGACATCTGTTTTCAAGCACCAGGCTGGACTGATCAGAAAGGAAACCGTGGGGCCTGACCTTCTTGTGTGCATTATGAGCGCTCAGTAAGGACAGGGCAAACACTGGGGAAATCAGCACCCACATAAAACTCTCCCATTCACTGACTTCTAGAACAAGGTAAAGGTGCTTAGTGAGATAACTTAATGAAGTTTTACATGATGGCATGGCTCACAGATAACGTAGTTTTAGGTAGCCTAACTGCAAAACCAATCAATTATTTCACAGCACATTGTTTTTTTTTTTTTTTTTTTTTTTTTTTTTTTTTGCGGTACGGTTTTGCTATGTCTTGCCTTTGACTCATGGTGCTCCTCCTGCCTCAGCCTCCTGAGTGCTGGGATTACAGGCACATACCACCACACCTGGTTAATAGCACACTCTTTTATCCTGAGTTACTTCATCAAGAGTAAGGTACTTGCTGTTAATAGCTTTATGTCTGGTTTAAATACAAGGGGAATGTTTGTGCCTTGCATACTTATTTCCTTAGGATGTCATCCTCTCACCTCTTTAATTTAAAAGTAAAATTATACAGATAGGAGTTCAACACACATTTATGAGGATATACATGTGGTCAACTTTCATGATTCGGACTCCCCTCCCCCAAATGGCAGAGGGGTTTTGGGCAGTGGACAGAACCATTTTTATATATGTTTTCAGTCTCTTAGGACAGACACAGAAATCATTTTTGACAACGAAGAGGGCCATGTAGATTGGAAAATCAAAGTCTGACATGACAAACTCCAAGCGTACCAAGCCTGAAGGCAAACTGAAGATACTGATCTCAAGGTGGATCTGGAGGGAGACACTGGCTATATATATAAAGCTAAAATAAGATGGGGATAAAAACAGCAGCGAAAACTAAGGGTGTGAAAAACTTTTGGTAAGCTTTTGGTATAAATCCTTGTGTAAGCCTCAACTGAAATTTTTAATCTCTCTAATGTGTTCAGGTACCTACACAGGAAAGAAAGGCTGTGAATTAATATTTTGCTCTGGAAATCATGGCACCTTGTCTTTGAAAGATGCTTGAAAAGAAAAGGTTGGTCACAGACTTCACATCCTAAAACAAGTGGGAGATAATTTCAATTTTATAAAAAGAAAGTATGGAAAACAGAAATCTCACGATGATTTGTGGCTTAGCTTTATCTCAGTATTGCGTAACAGATGGCTGTGTGGAGACAGACTTAAAATAATAATTATTTAGAAAAAACACACACTATTTGGCAATGTATCCAAATACCATTTTCAAGTAAGTAATCAAAATCACGAAAAAGGCTTGCTTTCAGTTTCAGATTTATGTCCTGGTCATACAGATCTACCACAATGACGAAGTAATTTCGGTAGTGTCACTTACTTAGTCTTACAACTTTTACGCTTTGATATTTAGCTTAACAGAGGCCAGAGGTAGTACATATTCAGTTTTTTAAAATTTGAAATTCAATAATGGCTTCAAGCAAAATAAAAGACAACTTGGTGAAGAACATTCCAAAGAAGTTCCATGACTATATTGGCCTTAAAATTCAAAGTGTCCTATGAACATCAAGAAGTCAAAGTCTGAATTTATGATGAGTATTAAGTAACTTTTACTGCATGTTCAGAAGTTTCAGCATGCCTACCTTCTTTTCCAGATCCAGCAGTTGTCTCCTCTGATCACAGAGGCAGCCTTGCTAAGCTCCTGAGTGTGATTACTGTTTGCATTGCAGATCCCTATTTCAAAAAGAATATTAACCTTTCCTCTTTTCTGTTTCCTCTTCCCAGAAAAATCTACAACTGTGGAGGAAGGGTGTAGCAGAGTTCTAAAGCTGAAGGTTACTATGGCAGAAAAATTATTTATGGGAAAAACAGACACGGAAGTAAGAGAAAAGGCATGAATACCAGAAAAGGTGAAGCGGGTTGGAAAGGTGCCCATTTCTACAGAGACTATGGGGTAATGAAAACAACGGTGCAGAGAGACTAGGATTCTACTCTTAACTTTGCAATTTATTAATTTTACGCCTATAGGTTTCATTTTCTTCATGTAAAATGGACACTGAACTAACTAGCACTAAGGGTGCCATTCAGCTCCCAAATGTCAATTTTGCCACACCGTCAATCCTCCTGGCCCAGGAAAAGCAGTCTCCAGTCAGGCCGAGTCCCGTGGCTGGGGAACGTCGTTCCCTTCCCCAGCACGGTGTTTGCTTTGTTTTAACTGGCGAGCTTTCAAATAGCTTCATTTCTATTTGATGTTTGTGCCTCTTCTAGTTTGTTCCTGATGAGATGGTAAAGACACAATAAGAAAACCACAGCGTAGCAGAAAAGGATGCAAACAGCAGGTACTATTAAGACCCAGAGGCAGCCTGGGACGCGGGAAAACTCAGAAATCAGCAGACAAGGAGCCCAGTAGTCAAAGACCAGCTGGCAGGACGAAAGATATAAATACAACCAAGTCAAAGACATCGGTATGTTGGAACTCAATAAAGGATCGAATCAGGTTGCAGGCCACATGGAAGAGACAAAAAAGAATACACCGGAAGTACTCGTAAGTCATCCTGAGAGAGGTGGTGCCACTTAGCCAGAAGTCTCATCTAAACTGTCACGACTCACATTTGACAAAGGTAAGAAATATGACCCTGCTTCCGCTGCATGCTTTACCAGAAGTTAATCCTAGAACTTAACTGTCTTAGGTGGCTTAGGACAGTCTCCAGGGCCAGCCCCAAGGAGGAACTTTCTAAAACTGAGAACGGGGGTAGGCATGAAAGACTGAGTAGTCTCGTGGCAAAGCTGCTGTCTGTGCCAGAGCAGCAGATCTGAGTTTATGGGTGATGCCAAAGCAAACGGAAGGCTAGGTGGTGTGAGACAGGAGATGAAAAACCTCTCCCTCGCCTGATGGAAACGTGAGAAAAGTTTTGTCATTCAAAAGCCAATTAGTCATTTCTCTTTTAGCTTAAAATCAAACACAGCAAACTACCCAAGCACTGCGGAATGAGCCCACGGGGCTACTTTTTCCATTCAACAGTCAGCATAACACTTGGAGAATATCATCTGAGGGTGATAATGTGCACTCACTCCTGAGTTACATTAGGAATGTGGCAATAAGAGACTGTCTTGTTTTCCCAACTCTACTCCCACAACGTGGAATCAATTTTGGTGGGGGAAGCAGCAGTGCCCTGAGAATGTACCCTAAGAGGCCACCAGAATCATGACTTCACTTTCTAACTGGGGGGTTCACACATGCACTGAAATTGTTACAGCCAGATCTAAAATCTCATTGCCTCTGGTTGGTCTCTCATGAGCTAAAACAGCCAGCAGTCAGATGCTGAACAGAACAAAGGAAAGAGAATCAAGATGAGCCTCATCTATGGTCCTGGAAGACTTTGCTGAAGTTATATAGCAGTTATTTCAAACCTGAGAAGAGATCAAGTTAGCCTGGGCACTGGATCCTGTTTAAAATCAAACATATAAACAAGTCTCCCAGACAGCCTCCACGATCACATTTACATACTGAAACAAACAAAAACTACCTAATGGAGAGGCCTGCTCTGAGATTTTTAGCTTTTTTTGGTAAGATGCCATTTATATTTTCAACATTTAAACCAAATGAAAGCTAAAAGTCTATAAACATTCCTGAAAGATATGAAAACTGTATCAGTTAAAGAGATTCAGTGGTGAGAATTCTGTTTTCTTCCCTTTTGCTTGTATTGATCAGACTTCAATTCCTTTCCATGGGTTTGGGGTAATAAGTGCTCCTTAATTCAATGGGGCTGATATCAAGATGAAATTAAAATACACACACAAACGTACATATATACGAAAGCCTTCTGTAAACCATAAAATATTAAATATTATCATGATGTCATCATTAATCTGATTAGAAATATTTAGCTTAAACATGAGCATATGATACATATCGTATCACATCTCAGCTTAGCAGAAAAAGTTTTACCTTTAGTACTAGGCCGTAGGGAATCTTAAAAGTTTTAGGAAGTAGTTTCACCATTTTGAATTTTGAAAGGCACAGAGAAAAACATCTGCAGCAAATTAAAAGCTTAGAATTTAAACTTCAGATGTATTGCTAAGCATCTAAAGATTTCTGATATTTGGGGGAAAAAATTCACGGGCATTTATAGATGGGGTGCTACAGACAAGGCACTGTGAGCTTTAAATCGTCCACTTTAACAGAAGCAGGGATAGTGCACAGTCTCAGTTTAACCAACATTTCTATCACAAACACTGGCTACAAACAATTCCTAGCTAACCTCTGTGAAGGATGGCTCACACATGCTAAAACTGTTCTGTGTTATGTTTCATTTGCTGTCCCTGTGGGTTTATACTCTCCAAGGCAAAGTTTTCATCGGCAGCGATATGGTCATGGGTGAGAAAGAGGATGTACTGAGTAGCTTGGATAATTCCACTGAGTCTACAGTTACCACGTGAACAAGTAAATTTATTTTCATGGTATGAAAATAAGTAAAGAAGGTCACTTTAAATCACTAGTAATTTTCTGATACTCATGTTGATTCCTTTTTATCCTGGCCATATAAAATGGGTTTCTACTATAAATAAAGACCATGCATTTCTCAGGATATCTTCTCCAAAGTTTTGTTCCAGATACATTAATAATATTTATAATTAAATACCACTAATAATGATGCCATTTCTATTAAACCTTCAGGACTGCCTTTAAGATGCAAACGTGATTTACTTCTCTTCTGCTCAAAGGCAGAGAATTAGGGCTGCAGAGCAGTGTTCCTAACAGTACACAACCCATTCACGTTACCACAGTAACAAAATCATCAAGTGTGCGAGCGGAAATGGAGTTTTCGATTTATGTATTACTGCAACTCATCGTTCATTCAGTCCCTGCACAAATGAGCCACACATGCACTTATCATAAACGTGGAGAGTGAATCCCAGTGAGGTGACACAATTTATCCCACTGGAAACGCTAATGAGTGGCAGATCTGAGAACCCAGATCTCCTAATTCGTAGTAAGCGCCCTTTCTATTACACTGCACGTGTCCTGGCTTTCAGTGTTTAAAAACCAAAGAGTATTTAGAGCGGTGTCATTACTAGTAGGTGATGTGGTCTTAAGTCCCTTTAGATTTCTCTGACAGTTCATCAGTTATCAAGCCTCTGCATAATGTGTTTTTAAAATACACAAGTGATAATATTTCAATTTGGGGGTATTAGGATTTAATGTCGGAAACACCACGATTCAAATTTTGTGTTTCCTGCACTTAGGCGGAAATAATATGCCACAGAGGTTGTGAAAGGGAACAGCAGGTTGGAAAACAGACATACTCCTGGTGTTTTCTGTAAAAGTAAAACACATACCGCTGATATTTTCTGTAAAAATAAAAACCATGTAAACATAGATGTGGCTGATGTGAACCGTGCCAAGGATAATAATTTAAAACTTTTTCATAACTATCTTAAAATATGTATATTTCTGATGAGTACCTTGGACCAAATGTATGTATTTTTTTCCTTCTTTCCAGTTAGGAAACAAGAGTGTATTTTAGAGTAGAATTGGTCATTAAGTTTTCTTTCTGGGTGTAAGTAAATCAAGGGGTCCAAACTGGATGCATGCTAAGTGCCTTTTAGTTTTCAAATGAAGTACCTTTCAATTAAGCAGTATGAAGATGCTCAGGTCTTTTAAGATATCTAATGAAAAAGAAGGAACCAATGGGAAGAAAAGAAGGAAGGCCTCTTATCAGAGAAAGGAGCACTCTCTACAGTTAACTATTTAACAGTAATTAAAGCCACAAATAAATACAGCTGTGGAAAACTTCAAACTAAAGTCTGCTCTAGAACCTTAAACACAACTGGTTAACAGCGGATTTTCCTTTTGCTCTACGTATGCCTTAAGGGCATTCAGTTTTAACACAGAGGCACTGAGAAATGGGCAGTGCAAAACGCGGAGGTCAGGAACCGCTTCTGCAGGCTTCCCGCGCCCGGCGGGTCAGCGGACCTCTGTGGACCCTGTCCGACTCCACGAAAGGAGGCCTCTGCTTGGAGCAAGGTAATTGCGGTGCTGACATGTTTGGTTATGAGAAACTTCCATCTATCAGTAACGTGATGTAAGGGTTAGGAGTCTTTCTTTAAGAAATTAACCACCGTGTGGCACACTGTCTCACGTATAACAGGAGCTCTCAAACACTAGTTTTGGTTTAATTAAAAATAACCTAATTATGAGCACACGATTTTAATTCTCTTGGTTGACCCTATATAAAGTATCCTCTTATAAATAATAAATATATTGCTTCTTTTTACCTTCTGTAGGGTGAATGGCATCCAAGAACAGTTGCTTGTTTGACCATTTATCCCCATTTCCTAAAAATAATCACAGAAAAGGAAAGTGAAACTCGGTAAGTGTAGCCATAAAAAATAAGATAATATACAAAATGACTTCAATGTGAAATATCACATACATGAAATAGGATTTTATTTCCATTATTTTATTCTCAAAATTCCATTTGCCAACTAAAGTAATGATGTTATACAGGAAATGGATAAAAATAAATCTTTGTCTTTTATAAAATGTACTGTTGGGATAATTTCTGTGACTTTAGTCAAGATAATTTGCTTTTGTTATGTTTTTTTTTGAGATAGGGTTTCACTACGCAGTTCAGGCTGGCCTGGAACTCACTTTGTAGCCCAGGCTGGCCTCAAACTCACAGTGATCCTCCTGCCTTAGCTTCCCGAGTGCTGGGATTACAGATGTGCGCCACCATGTCTGGCTTTGGTCAAGAAAATCTGAAGATCAGTAAAATGTAAGTGACCAAAGCTCACATTTTCCCTAAAGAATAATGCTTCTTCACTGGAAATAGAGGGAAAATAATACCAGCATATTACAAAAGAAGCTAGAGTAGAAGTGAAAGCGCGAATTAAAGGTTACATACAGAGCACACGGGCACACACGCCTGCATATACGAGGCAGCTACATTGAAAGCCTCACTCAAGAAACATGAACTGCCTTAGATCTGGCCATGCAAGGAGGATGCAGATGGGCATCAAATGAATAGGTCTGTGGTGGGCATGACGCTGACGTGCAGGGAGACACTAAAGAGAGCCCCACCTCCCGGACACAGGGCTACGCTAGCAGGATTTCTCCTGTACGTGAAAGAACAGGAGTCCTGAACTAGGAGGAGAAAGAGACCCTAAGATGAGCCCCGAAGAGGTTCAAGGCCCCGTCGAGATCCTTACTGTGAGAGACGCTCAGAGTGAAGGAGGGGTAGGAATGCTCAATGAGAATACAGTTATGTGACTGGAGAAGGCAGGCAGAAGAGTCCAACTAACAATCACGTATACAGATGGGTGGAAGAGAGGTGAGTTACAACTTAGTAGAGGACAAACAAGTCCGTAAGAATTCCCAAGTGTCAAAGAAGGTACAGAAATGCTGGGGCTTTCACATGAATACGAAACTGCTAAGATTTCAGGAAGGAGAAAAATGTAGCCATCATACGAAGGGCTGCAAAATATGAGAAAAACAAGAGTAGCCAAAGAAAATAAATGCATAAAAGGTCCAGAAGATTAAAATACAAAATGCATGAAAATGCAGATGAGAAGAAGCCATTGCAGGACTCATATGGGGCGCTGAGCATGGGTGGGTTTGAGGAAGAGTCCTCGTGAGGGAGATTTGCGGTGCGCTGCAGTCCAGAAAGGAGGAAGCTGCTCACGTCGGGAGCCGATGCGCCGGAGCAAGCACGGGTGAGGGGAAGGCGAAAGCAGTGCATGGAAGCGTTGCTCAAAGACGAGTTCACAGTGGAGGTGACCAAGAAACCTGAACGGAGGACAGAAGGCACCAATACCTTGTTCTGGAACATTAGGCTTCTCCTTTTTGTGCTTATATTTGCTGACAATTTTGTGGAATAAGTTCTTTTTCTGAGACTGGAAAGGACCTACAGACAATATTCATATAAGTATTTTAAATTTCCAATGTTTCACAAAATAATGTGCTTTTAAGCAGTTATACCCTCCTCCCTCCTGGGGAACAAGTAAATACTGAATTGCAAGAAACGTCATCGTGCATCTTCACTCATCTAGCGGGTGCTCAGCCCCACTCTAAGATTACTCTAAACCCAAGAAGAATCTCCTTGGCCAGTATTGGGTAGACGCCTCCATCAGGACTGGGACTCCTTAGGCAGAAACTGCAGTTTCAGTGAATAAAAACACACTACAACCAATAATGGCAGAGTTGCCCTAGTCTGCAACAGACAAAAGGTTTCGCGTTAGACTCCTAAATATCATAAAGCAATGGATGCAATGTGCACTTTCTCTCTCCTGAAATTGTGGCTTTCACGTAAGAATAGCACTTTCAGGGTGACGGCTGACGTGACAGCAGTTTTCTGGCCTTTTCTCAGGCTATCGTAGGTAGATAAAAGTGATTTTTAAAACAGAAAAATAGTTGCTAAAATATTTTTTCAGGGTAGGAGGGGGAGACATCTCAGATTCTATCTCACTTGTCTGAGATGAAAGCAGAATAGTTTTCCAGTTAATGAGCAATACCCACGATAGTGTTTACGTCCCCAAAGCAGGGTGCTTCCTACACTTTGTGGATATTCCTATGTGAGTAATGTTACGTCGTGGTGTTTCCTCCCCTGCAAATGGGGATCCCTGCAGCACCTAACTCACAGGGCAGGTGCGGCGATTAAAGTCAGACGCAGCACCTGGTGTCCTGCTGAGCGGGCCCCACCCTCCTCTCTAGTGAGCTGTTCCATCCATGTTACAAACATACTACTTCTCCCAAATTCAAGGAAAAGGCTTCTGTCCAAGCTTTCCTCTTGTCAGTTACTGCCCTGATTTTTTTGTTCCCCCCACAGCAACTCTCCTTCAAGGGCTGCCTATACTCGCTGTCCATAATTTCTTTCCTTCTACCCAACCACCCAAGACAACCCGCTCTCCTGATCAGATTTGAAGCTTGGAGGGCCCGGGGTGGAGCCTTCCCCTATGGGCAGTACCCACAGCTTCTGACAGGATGATCTACTTTAGCCGCACCCTCTAGCTCGAATGCTTCATTCACTGGGACGGTCGAACATCGCCTTGTTTCTTCTCTTCCCTCACTGATCTTTCATCTTTCCCTTTCTGTCTCCTTCTCAGGCATTTTAATTTCATAATGCCCTGGACTCCGTGGTTGTCTTTTTTTCCACTCCTTTGGTGATTACTCCTCATCTTAAGGCGTAAATAACAGCTATAAACGGACGGCTCCAAGTCCATCACATCATCCACAGCTCTTCTACTCCATATTTGAAAAGCAAGCAAAACAAAAGACAGATAATAGGCAACAGGGAGCTAGAACTTTTGCAAAAGGGACCAAGAGACGGGAGGGATAAAAAGAATTAAGATGGTTTGTATACATGTCTCTACTCCCCACAATGAATGTAACCACTATGTACTACAAACATGTACTAATAAAAATTAATACAAGAAAAGCCAGCAGACTTACAAGATCTTACAAGGGCCTCTCGGACTCAGTCCCACTATGACGGCACTTCATCTCCTTCACTTCTGGCTGCTCTGGCCTCCTGGCCGTGCCCAGCACGTACAGCCTCACCCCTGCTTCAGGACCTTTGAGCCTGCCGCCCCTCTGCACAACACTCCTCCCATCTCCCGACAGCTCCAGGTCTAACTGCCTCAACTCCTCTGAGCTTTCCTCCAGTGTCTCCAGATACGTAGAGTTGCAGCTCAACCCTACGTCTATCACTTGTGTTCTCCTTATCTCTTTTAACCTATTTTTTAACTGATTAGAAAGTTTTTATATTCAGGGATATCCGCAACAATCACCAACTTTTAGAATATTTCATCACCTCAAAAATACATCCCACGCTTTTTAGTTATTACCACTATTATACCTGCTGCATTTCTGCTGTGCCTAAGCAACCACTAATCCGCCTTCTATCTCCATAAAAATCTGTATGTTCCATTAAGGATATTTCATATATATGGAATCATGTAAGTGATTTTTGACTTTTTTGATTTGTCATATTTCCAAGGCCTATCCATGCTGCATAGAATACAGCACAATGAAAAATATTTCACTATAAGGATGTAACACATTTTGTTTATCCACTCAACAGCTGATGGACATTTGGACTGTTTCCACCTTTGGGCTATTACAAATAATGCTTCCATCAACACTCAAATACAGGCTTTTGTGTGGATGTATGTGTTTCTCTGAAGCATACGGTACCTCTTATGTTTAACCTTTTGAAGAATAAACTACTTAGTGAAGCAGTACCATTTTACATTCTTACTTGAAATGTATAAGGGTTTCAATTTCTCCATATCTTCACCAACATTTGTCATTATCTCTTTGATTACTGCATTTTAAGGATGTGAAATTGTGGCATTCTCACTGGAGTTTTGATCTGCATTTCTCTGAAAGCCAATAATGTCAAGCATCTTTATAATGTATTTATTGGTTTTTTGTGTGTATCTTCTTTGGAGAAAATGCTTACTGAGATAATCTGTGCATTTTTAAGTTTTTTAACTATTGAATTGTTAAAGAGTTCTTTATATATTATAGATACAAGTTCCTTATTGGGTACGTGATTTGCAAATATTTTATCCCAGTGTGGAGGAGTAATGGTCACCCTGAGTGGGAATGCCCTGCTGAACTAAGACAGCGTGGTTCTGGGTGGGGCAAGATCTGCCTGAGGATTGCTGCCAGAATGACAATAAATGAGAGAAGGAGGGGAAGATGGCACGCTGTTGATTCTCCTGGAGAAGTTTGCTGCCGCTGGTTTTCCTGATATGAACTTGGTTTTTCTCACTGGAGGAGGAGCTCAGGTCCTTGCTGTCACCAGAGAGGCTGCTGCTCTCTTTCGGGGAGCTCTGATCTTCACCCTGAATGCCACTTACAGGCTCCAGTGCAGGCCCCGACTCAGCCTTCCGGCACAGATCCTTCAATCCCCTGCCACAGTCTTTCCAGCTTCGACAGCACCACTGGCCCTTGGGCCTTTCCAATGCAGATCCATCTTACGGACATGTATGGGACATTGCGGTGGCCTCCAAATCCATGACTGGATTCTTTGGGTCTCTAGTGCAGGGACAGATCTCTTGCTCTCTTCTGCATTTGACTTTCTGGATGAATACTATAAAATAATCCTATCAATTATGTGTCCTGTATTAAATCTACTCCCTTGGAAAACACTGACTACAACACCCACTCTGTGAGATGTCTTTTCACTTTCTTGGCAGTGTCCTTTGAAGCACAAAAGGTTTTAATTTTGAAATAGTCCAATTTATCTATTTTGTCTCTTGGTGCTTGAACCTTTGATGTTATCTAAGGATCCACTGCCAATGTGAGGTCACAGAGATGCAGCCCTGCATTTTCTTTTAAAAGTTTTATGTCTTACTCTTAGGTCTTTGATCCATTTAAAGTTGAAGTTAGCATACTGGATGAAGTAAGAGCCCAACTTCATTCTTTTGCTTGTAGATATCCAGCTGTTTTGCAGTACCATTTTTTTTTAGACTATACTTTTCCCATTGAATATTGTTCACTACTGTTGAAAATCAACTGACAAAAAATGTTTGGCTTCATTCCTGCACACTCAATTCTGTTCCACTGATCAACAGGTCTGTTTTTATGCCAGTACAACACTGTTTTCATTACTTGGGTTTCATAGTTTTGAAATCAACTATTAGGGTTTTTTTTTTTTTTTCCAAGATTGTATTACTTACTCTGAATCACTTACCATTTCATGGTACTCTTAGGCTCATGTGTTAACTTCCAAAAAGAAATCAGCTAAGATTCTGAGAGGTGCTGGATTCAATCTGCGGGTAAGTTCAGGGAAGTACTTCCATTTTAACAGGCTAAATCCTCTGATCCATGAACATGGGATATTTTTCCATTTATTTCTATTACTCTTTGAACAATGTTTTGCAGTTTTCACCATGTTACACTTCTTTTTTTCTGGTACTGGGGACTGAACCCAAGGCTTTCATACTGATCTATATTCACAGCCCTGTTCTAATTTATTTTGAGACAGGGTCTTACTAGTTGCCCAGGCTGGGCTTGAACTTGTCATTGTCCTGCCTCAGCCTCTTAGCGTGCTGGGACTGTAAAGTATGCGCCACCACACCTGATTTATGTTGCATTTATTTTGTTAAATTTATTCTGAAGTAGTTTTGGGGGGTGTGTGCCACTGGAAAGGGAGTTATTTTCTTCATTTCAGTTCTAGATTGTTCATGGCAAGTATACAGAAATACAATTAATTTTTGTATTACTGTATCTTGCGTCCCTACTGAAATCATTTATTACCTAAAAAGTTTTTTAGTGGATGTCTTAGGATTTTCTACCTGTGCATGGGTCTTCTAGGGACTGGGGATGGAACACTGAGGTTTGCATCTAGACGTCTCCCCAAAGTCTCAGGTGGTCACGGTGAGGCTTTTGGAAGGTGACCAGGCATGCGGGCTGGTAGCTGGCCTGCGGTTAGGAAGGCAGGTCTGGATCAGGCAGGTCTGGATCACTGGGGCATGGCCTGGAGGGTCTAACCTCCCTGGTTCCCTAAACTCTAACTCCTTTCCACAGTGCCAGATTCTCTTCTCCTATGCGCCCCTGACATGCAGTCCTGCTTTGGACCAGTCGACTACAGACAGAAACCCCTACAAACTGTGAGCCAAAATAAACATCTCCCTTAAGTTGTGGCTGTCGGGTACTATGTTCCACAACGAGGAACGTGACCAAGACAATCGCGCCATATGAGAAGGGCGAGTTTTACTTCCTGACCAGTCTCAATGCCTTTTGCTTCTTCCTCCTAACAGTGCTGAACAGGAAGTGGCAAGAGCTGACCTCCCTGTCTTGTTCCTGTGCTTACAGGGAAAACATCTCCGCTTTTACCACGAAGTATAGTATTAGCTGTGCATTTACTGTAGATGCTCTATCAGGTTTAGGTAACTC